TCCAACTTTAATGTTATAATTAATTTAATTTTTATATTAAGGGCTCGAAAATCTGTTGAAATAATGCAATAATGACAGTGGTATAAAAAAAAAAAGACAAATTTACATGCTATATATTTAGAATACGTATTAAGAATATTTTTTTATATTTAATGATTTATATAGGTAGTTAAAGAAAGCAATTCATTTCACAGGACAAAGTAATTTATTTTTTTGGTTAGGTTCTGAATTGAATGTTTCATTAAATTTGTAATCTCTTTTTTCAGATCTTTAGGTGAATCACCAATTTGTGTACTAGATGGGAAAACTAATGAATACATTCATTGTGAAACCGTGGAGCTCTATCCGCGTAAATGTCGCATGGTTATGGATATGGAAGTATTCAAAGAGCATGCTGATGTTCAAAATATGTAATGATCTAATCGATTGTCAGATTGATATTTGTTCAGTAGAGGTAAATAAATGAAAAATTTTATTGTTACAATGAATTGATTATCCTGAATTTATCTTGGGTACCAGCTTTATTCGCCGAGATTTTTGATTATCAAGATATTCGAAAAAATTTTGTTTATAATATTTTGACATCTGATTTATTGGGCAAACCATTTATTGCCATCTTGTTAAAGATGTTTATACTGCAAGAGTACGAAATTTGCATACACACGATGCCATCAGGTTTATAACAATTTATTTACGGGTGCAATTTGTTATATTTATTTTGTTTCATTGATCGAAAATATCTTTGTGAAATAATTAGACTTTTCCTATTGTCCTAGACAGAAATATACAAAAATGTGATAACTATGAGTTTATGCGTGGGCATATTTATAAAGAGAAAAATGGGTTGTTATCAAGGTAATTGATGTTTCAAATAGTTGAGGTTTTAATTGTTTATATTACCGAACAAAAATTTATCATCGATACTAAGCGATGAAAGGCTAGCAAAGCAAAAAGGTAATAGTCCTACGGTATATGAATTAAGCAAGTTAGAGCATAAGAATATAAAAG